TTTTCTTCCCCCACAACCACAGGAATCTGAACTTCAGGCTAGTAGCACCTCTGGAATTTCAATTTCCTAAAAAGCTTGACAAACTGGCATCCAGAGACTACTAAGATTTGAGAGGCAATGTGTGGTAATGGATACAATCCCCAGACTGGGAGTCCTAGGTTAAAATTCTACTTCTGACTGTATCAACAGGGCCACGTTACATCTCTGAGCCTCAGTTTCCCCATCTGTAAAGTGGAGATAACACACCTACTTCCTGGAGCTGCTGTGAGGCTCCACAGTAATTTATAGATTTTAAAGGGCCACATAAATATCAGCTTTTCCCTAGCTGCCTCCCCCGCCTCCAATTCCTGGACCCCACTTCTTCCCCAGCTGGGCCTCTTGGAATCCCCTGGCTTATCTTAAGACTAGAGTACCACCACCTCCAGGAGGCCTTTTCTGATCCCCAGCTGCCTCCCCCACCCCCTGAAATCACTCTGCATCTTCTCCATATACACTTGAGCACAAATGTTGTCTCCATTAGAATGGGGGCAGAGACGATTTGATTTTGCCTTTGGAATTGCAACACAGGGGCCTGGCGCGTGAGAGGTGCTTAATAAATGCTGACCAACTGATGGCATCATGATTTCTAAATTCCATCTTCTGGTGACTCTAGAGTGTGTACCTCTTTGCCAATCAATCAATGAATTCGTCAGTAAACCTCTATGAGGGATTTACTACATACAAGACATTGGGTACTAAGCATTGGGAATAAAGGGGCAAAAATCAAAGGGACCCTCACCTCAAGAAGCTCAGTATTAAAAAAAATAACTTCACTGTTAATAAAAAATTAAAAGACAGAAAGATGGACCAGCTTGGCAGATGGACCAGCTGACGATCATCTTCTTACCATGTGGCCAGTAAAAGTGGTCAAGCTGGATCCAACCTGAAACCATCTCACTATCTCTCTGCTCTAGATAGTAGTAGTTACAGCAGCAGTAGTAGTAGTAGTAGTAGTAGTAGTAGTAGCACCACCATCACTACTACTACTTTTGTTGTTGTTCAGTCGTTTTCAGTCATATCCGACTCTTCATGACCCCATCTGGGGTTTTCTTGGCAAAGATACTGGAATGGTTTGCCATTTCCCTAGCTAGCTCACTTTACAGATGGGGAAAATGAGGCAAACAGGGTTAAATGATTTGCCCAGGGGCATACAGCTAATAAGTGTCTGAGGCTGGATTTGAACTCAGATCTTCCTGACTCCAGGCCTGGTGCTCTATCCACTGCACCGCCCTGCTGCCAGAGCTGCTATTGCTGCTACTAACTAGCACTGATATAGCACTAAGATTTTTCAAAGAGGTTTACAAATATTATCTCATTCGATCCTTCTTAACAACCCTATTAGATGTTATTATTAGGCCCATTTTTACAGATGAGGAAACTGAGGCTGAGAGAAAAAGTAAGAGTCACTCAGCTGTTAAGTTTCTGGGGCAGGATCCGAACTCAGGTCTCCCTGATACGAGGCCTACCGTTCCATCCTGTCACTATTTCCAAATTAGCTCCACTCTGGCCATCATTCTCACATCTCCCCTCCTTCTCCACCTCCATCCCCAAGCTTGGACTCTGGGCCCTGACAGGTGAGCCTGCGCCTTATCTTGCCCAGAAGCAGCCCTCTGAATTGTTTCCCAGCCTCTATTTCCAAACTAAGCAGCTTTGTGCTTCCCTCTCTACCCCCCTTACCCATTCCCCTTCACATCTTGTCTCTGTCTATTAAAACGTAAGCTCCTTGAGGGCAGGAATTATTTTTGTCTTTCTTTGAATCCCCAGCCCTATGCACAAGACTTAGCATTCAGCAAGCAATTTAAAGAATGCTTTATTGGGGTAGCCAGGTGGGCGCAGTGTCCGGCCCTGAAGTCAGGAGGACCTGAGTTCAAATGTGACCTCAGACCAAACACTTGACACTAGCTGTGTGACCCTGGGCAAGTCACTTAACCCCAACTGCCTAAAAAACCAAACAAACAAAATGCTTTATTTCTGCCTGTGTCTGTCTGTCTATCTAGCTACCCTAAATAATCTCAAAACAAACCAGATGAATTAGCTCCACTGCAGGTAACAATGGGTAAAGGACCTCACTGTCACCTGAGAAATGACCTTTTGTATCAATTAATCCAAAGGTTCATTTTTTGAGAAAATGACTTGTTTCCCTTTAGTATTTATTTGAAGAGGATCGCAGACACCGCCCCCGCGCCCCCCCCCCCAGCCCCAGGGCCCATATCTGCTTCTGGCCTTGTCTGCTCTGTAGAGAACCCACAAGCCACAGGAAGGCTCCGCTGCCTCACCTCCTGAGAAAAGGTCAAATGACTTTTTTCTAGGTGGAAATACAAATAAATGAGGCTTCTTATCACCGCTGCTGTTTGTAGCAACTTATACAAAGCCTGGATGGGTACTGCCCCTGAGAGATGCAATGTGGCTCAGCAGATAGCAGGTGGGCTGGCATGCCAGTCTCCTTTTTTACAGGCTACCCTCTGCCTCTCAGAATCACTGGCATCCTTCCAAGTGCCATCTCCTCCTACACAGGCCTTTCCTGACCCCCCTGGTTGCTTCTGCCTCCTCCTGGAAGTGGCTTTGTATATTTTTAAATTTAATTTTCTAAGTACGTGTTGATCTCCCCTAATAGAGAACCAGTCCCTTGGGGGTGGGGAGCAAGGCCTGTTCCATTTTTGTCTGTGTAGTGTCTGAACGTGGCAGGCACGTAGGATTACAGACTAAGAACTGGAAAGTACTTTTGAGGTCATCCAGACCAGAGCCCTCATTTTACTGACGAGGAAGTGAATTGATTCACACAGCTGGTTAAGTATCAGAGGCAGGCTGTCCTGACTCCCGGTACTCTAACCACTAGGCTACCTCTTTAGGCATTCACTGAATTGAATTGAACTGGGTTCAAGTACTGCCTCAGACACTTACCAACTGAGTGACCATGGACAAGTCACCCTGCTGTCTCCCAGTGCCTCAGACAATTTTCTAAGACAAGGGTTATTAACTTGGCTTTCAGGGACTAAGGAGTCTGTGCATAGATTTCATGTGGTGAGGGTGGATGGGGTGGGGGTGGGGTGATTACCTTTGGTTTCCTTAGTATCTTATGTTTTAGTTTATGGGTTTAAAAACTTTATTCCTAGAAGGGTATGTCTATAGCTTCACCTGATTTGCCAGAGGGGTCCAAGATACACACACACAAAAGTTGAGAAACCTTTTCTTTCTTTTTCTTTTTTCTTTTGGCTAGGCAATGGGGTTAAGTGACTCACCCAGGGTCACACAGCTAGTAAGAGTCAAGCGTCTCAGGACGGATTTGAAATCAGGTACCCCTGACTCCAGGGCTGGGGCTCTATCCATTGCACCACCTAGCTGCCCCAAGAAACCCTTTTCTAAGAGTATAAGTTATATATGAGTTGCTGATTGAGGGTTCTTTATCCCAATGAGATCAAAGGTCCACCCTGTAACACAGGTGGGAGGTGGGCAGGCCTGAAGCAGAGTAGGTGCTTAATAATTGCTGACTGATTGATTGATATTAGGCATAGTTCCTTCCCAATGGGTTTTAAGAGGTTCAGATAAATTACTTAAGATAAACAAAGCCTGCTCATTCCAAGGCTTTTAAGCAAACAATCACCAAAAGGATGGCTAATTATTTAATTTGCATCCGCATCTACAAGAGGAACAGACTAGGCTAAGTAAGTTTTACTTCCTAAAACCAAAAAGCAACAGTATTTCCAAGAGGCCATTAATGATACAGAAGATAATAGTCCTAATAATATTAGTCTTAACCCTAAAGATATGTCAGTTGGCTAAGTGTTGTTAAGAGTATCTCAAAAGCACAATCCTGGACCTTCAAAGAGATTATACCACAGAAAGCACAGGGAAGTTGCCCATTGTATAAGTCATATCCCAAGTCAGGTTAGCATTGGTCCTAGAAATGTCCATTTCTAAGCTAAATACTGTTAGGCTAGTGCTATCATTGGCAAAATGTTTATTTGGTGTATGGCTGCCAAGTGGGCCCCATAGGTAGGCAGGCAAAAATTCAATGCCCCCTGCAAACTCACACAGTCTATAATTTGGAGACACATTCTCACTTTCTGACCACTTTTTTTTAATGTGGGTGTTTTTGTCCATTTAGAATATAGGTCAGTTTCACAGTCCATTTCCAACATCTTTCAGTTTCCTTGTCCATTTCCAACATAGGTCAGTTTCACTGTCCATTTCCAATATCTCTCCTTTCATTGTACCTTTCTAACAAGTTAGTTTCATTGTCCATTTCAACATCCTTCAGTTTCATCATCCATTCCCAACAGAGATCAATTTCATCATCCATTTCTATCCCCACACTATAATCTCCATTTAAAGGGATGCTTGGAGGCAGCCAGGTAGAGCAATGAGTGGATAGATCCCTGGCATCTGGAGTCAGGAAGACCTAAGTTCAAATCCAGCCTCAGACTCCTTCTAGCTGTGTGATCCTGGGCAAGTCACTTAACTCAACCTCAATTTTCCCATCTGTAAGATGGGGACAATAATAGCACCTACCTCCCACAGTTGTCATGAGGATAAAATGAGATAGTATTTAAGTGCTTTGCAAATCTTAAAATGTTATAGAAATGCTAGCTATTTATTCTGGGAATACTTTAGAAATGGCATGTTAAGAAAAAATGATCTGACAGTCTTGGAACTTTCTTTTCTTTCTGAGTAATGAGAAAGAAAAATTCTCAACAAGATCCTGAGAAGTTCACAACTGTCCCTTTGGGACCTTGATAAGGCAACACAGACTTAATGGTTTATGTCAGTTTCATTAAAAATGTATTTTTTTCCCCTCCTCAAGCTTAGAAGAGGGACATCTGAAGTGCCTTGGAAAACAAACAGATCAGTTTTCACTGCCCTTTGGTGGCCTGGGTGAATTTAATAGAATAGCACCTTATCTCAGAGGGTATCTTTGACTCCCTCCCTCCCACCATCTGCTCCAGAAAGGCTCCTTCTTATACCTGTATGGGGGAGACGGCAGCTGCTGGCGCTGTCCTCACTGGAATTCCACTGAGGGGACTCCGGGGGGTCTTGTGCACAGAGACGCTCTGCCCAGGGCCACCTGCCGAGGAAAGGGTTGATGAGCTTTGTGTGCCATGCTATTCCAGTCAGTGCTTCACTTTGGTCAGCAGAGCCTAGATTTAGGGTTGGAAGGGGCCTTAGAGGTCATTTGGTCCAACCCCCTAATTTTGCAGATAAAGAAACTGAAGGCCTGATCACTGTGGTAGCAAAGGTCAGAGTCAGAATTTGAACCTAGGTCTTCTGACTCCAGAGCTAGCTCTATGTCTCTCACTACACTGCCTCCCTGCTAAGGTGGGGCATCACTTTGCCACCCATGTTGAGGACCAACACCTAAAGCATTAATCTGGGGAGCCTAAAAGGCTTCCTAAGACATTACTTCTCCTATCCCATCGTGGTCAGCGATGGAGTGGTGGCAGCAGGTGACGAAGTTTGGCTTACTCTGGGGCAAGGCAAGAGGTGCCACGCACAGAAAAAGAGGTAGGCCTAACCAGGAGAAATACAGCCTCCGTGGCAGGAGAGTAAGTAATGCCGAGAAACTAAAAGTAAGAAGAAGTCATGACCCATACCATTTCAGTCTACTCTTTTTCCTACTTGCAAGATCTGAATACAGTAAGAAAATCAGATTTTTCCAAGCTGGAAGGGACCTTGAAGATTATCTCGTCCAACATCCTCATTTTATAGAGAGGAAAAGGCCTGAGAAATGAAGCGACCACTGGAAGGTCACATAGCCAATGAGGGGCAGAGCCAAGACTCATTTCCACTCCAGTGGAAGGCTGCATAGTGAGCCTGGCTAAGCGATCCATCCTCACGTCTCTAGACTGATTCTGCATGGGAGTCAGCACTAGTCTTGTGGTAGTGATAACCAGGCCACAGAGGTCGTAAGAACTCATCACTCTTCCATCCTCACCACACAGTGGACGTATCTGGTTTGCGTGTGGACAGAGGGAAGAGGGGGTGGGGAATCAAGGTGGATGAGGGTGCATGCCTGAAACGGAAGAATCCCATACCTGAGCATCCCAAATCAAATGACTTGATCAGCGACTTAACAGTGGCGGCTGACTCTGAAGGCGTCGGGGAGGCTCTGCTCACACAGACCCCTTGCCACCGGCCGGGACCATCCATTTCTGGGGAGTCTGGCTCTTCGTTTACAGGCCTGTGTGCAAAAGGCAGAACAAGATGAGTCAGGAGAGGCCCAGGGGTGGGATACGGAAGTTTCTGAAAGAGACAAAGGAATAAAGATGAGAAAACAAGCAGAACTGGGGGGTGGGGTGGGATTTCAACTCATTCCTTCTCTTTGCCAGTTGGACCCACTGCGTTAGGAAATTATTTTGGGGGCCTATTATCTACTTATAAATAAGATAGCATTTCTCTTGAGAAATTCCTTGGGCTGGGCCCAAAATAGCGATTCTATGTATAGATCTAGCCAGCTGTGTCCACCACAATAGCGCTAGACTAAACAAGCCTCTGGGAGGATGCTCTAGGTCTCCAGGTGAGGACAGGTTTCCTGCCTTGTTGCAAGCTTCCTGGTACCTTCTCGCCAACTTTGTATTGGTCAGCATTACAGAGTCACGGAATGTCAGAGCTGGCCAGAGACCTTGGGGATCATCTTGTCCAGCCCAATTTTTCAGAGGAGGTAAAGCAAAGTAGCTTGCTTAAGGTCACACAGCTAAGCTGGGTGGCAGACCCAGGGCTAAAATCCAGAGGCCTTGTCTGATGCCTTCCACTGTGCTGTGTCAAGGAAAGAGGCCAGCTAGACGTGGAATAAGAGCCCAAAGGGAGCATGTCCTGCTCATTTATGCCGATAAACACTGTGAAGGCTTAAAATGTGAATGACGTGCTAGTAATCTTGGCTCAAATGATTCTAACAATCCCAAGCTTTGGCGACTTAGCTTATCGTTCCTTACGTTCCCAGCCTTCTGTCTCTTGAATAACCAAACTGGGCACAGAGCTCTCCAAGCAACAAAAAAAGCAGTCCATCCTAACTAAGATATAGCCCCAGTACCAAACCCCAAAATGAAATCCCTCCACTCCTCGCCCTCCAACCCTACCCAGGACCCAGCTCTCTCTTCTGTTTCTCTATTCTATCTACTCAACCCCACCACACAGAATAAAGGAGCCAGAGAATGTTGGAGTTGGAAGGAATCTTAGTAGAGAACAGTTAGTACAGCCTCCCACCCAGCACACATTTATTCACACTCATTTTGGAGATGAGGAAACTAAGTCCAGAGAAAAGGGCAAGTGACTTGCCCAAGGTCACACTGTAAGTAGCAGAAATAACACTGGAACTCAAACCTCTTTACTTCATGTGAAGTGTTCTTTTTACCATACCAACATCTCTCTGTCTCTCTGTCTCTCTCACTCTCTCTCTCCCTCTTTCTCTCTCCCCCCCCCTTCTCTCTGGAAACTAATCAACAAGCATTTATTAAGTGCCTATTATATCCCAGGTGGGCAGCTAGAGTGCCAGGCCTGGAGTCAGGAAGACCTGAGTTCAAATCTGGCCTCAGACATTTACTAGCTATGTGACCTTGGGCAAGTCACTTCACCCTGTTTGCCTCAGTTTCCTCATCTGTCAAATGAGCTGGAGAAGGAAATGGCAAATCGGTACAGTCTCTTTGCCAAGAAAACCCCCAACAGGGTCATGAAGAGTCAGACAGGACTGATACGACTTAACAACAATAACAACAACAATCTTTCCTAGGCATTGTGCTAAACTCTAGAGAGATAAAAAGAGGCAAAAGACAATGCTGTCTGAAAGGAACTTGCAATCTAATAGGGGGGTCCATAGGAAAACTGTACAAACAAGATCCATATATTAAGGATAAACTGAAGAACATCTCAGAGGGAAAGTTAAGATTAAGGAGTGGGAAAGGCTTCTTGCAGAAAGTAGGAGTTTAGTTGGGACTTGATGGAGGAAGGAGGATGCATATGTCCAGTATGGAGGACAACAAATGAAAATGTCTGGAGTCAAGAGACAGAGTGCCATGGGCGAGGAACGGCAAGGAGGCCAGTGCTCCTGGACCCCAGACTATGTGGAAAGAAGGTATTTGCTTGGAAAAGTAGGAAGGGGCTAGTTTATAAAAGGCTTTAAAAGCCAATGAAGGACTTTATATTTGGTCCTGGAGGTGTTACGGCATTGCTGGAGTACATTGAGTGGGGGGAGAGGGTCAGGGTTAGACCTGAGCTTTAGAAAGATCAATGTGACAGCTAAGTGGAGGATGGATTGGAATGGGGAGAGAATTGGGGCAGAGGCCAACTGGCAGTCTCTGTAACAGTCCAGGGTTAATAATAACAATAATAACTAACACTGAAATTGCTCCTTAAAGTTTGCCAAAGCACTAAATGTATACACTCATTGGACCCTCATAATGAACCTGGGAGGTCAGCGCTCTGGGTATTATTATCCCCATTTTGCAGATGAGGAAAAGGCTAGATGACCTGCCATAGTACACACAGCTGGTAATTAACTGAGGCTGGATTTGAACACAGACCCTGACCTCAGCTCCAGCACCCTATGCCCTAAGAAACTTCTCAGATCATGATGGACTGACCTCGTGGTAATTCTTCCCTTCCGAAAAGTGACTTATCATGAAGCTGGAGAGGAAAGCTACTAGGCCAAATCAGTTACCAGCAGAGAGGGGGGAGATGACTGGGGTTTCTATTCCTGACAATATCCAGGGAGGTCTGGCTACTTCTCTTTAACTGATTCACTTAGGGTACTTTGGAGCCTTTTTGAAATGCAGGCCATCCCTGGAAGGCAGATGGTTTTGGAAATCCATCTTAATTCCATTTTCCAGCAATCCAATACCAAGAAAGCTCTGAGTGTGCCCCCCGCCCCCAACCACGGCATCCAATCTCCTTCAATTACCCAGAATTTGCCATTTGTCTTTCTATCCCAAGTGCCTAACACAAGACCTTGCCCAGAGTAAGAGCTTACTAAATGTTTGTCGAATCAATGAGTGAATGAATAAAATCTTCCATTGTTTAGTAAAATAACAATGACGACAACAAAAAGCAGAGAACTCGCTTGGCTTTAATTTGTAACACCAAAGCTAATGTGATTCCTTCCCACGAAATAGAATACAACCAAAACTTCTGTTCCTGATAGCCAGTAGGAATATTTTAGTCCACTCATTGTCCAAAGGTACTGCTTAGAAAGTACATCCCAATAAGACCACCAGAAAAAGATGGGTTTATCTTTTAGGCATCTGTGGGAAGAGATTCTATTAATTATTTAGGATAGACTTTTTTTTTTTTTGAAGCTGGCCCTCTGTTTGGGGTAGGGAACTCCCCGTGAGGGAAGTCCTCTCTCAAGACAGCTAGACATCTTTTCTGTGACTTAAGTCTTAGAGAGCTGCTATATGTGAGGCAGCATTTAAACCCAGGCCTTCCTAACACTGAGGCTGGCTCTCTAGCCCCTATACCACACTGCCTCCGTAGGTACGCTATAGGATATTTAAAATAAAGTTTCCACCAAATTATTCCTTTCACACACTGCCGTCCCCCGAGGGAGTAAACCAAAGATTTATTCATCATGGAACCACAAAATGGATATCATAACTGGAGGGGACCCTTAAATATTATATTACATATTCTATGTTATAGAGGTCTAGTCCAACCTTCCCATCATCCTCTTTTTGGAGAAAACTAAATCCTCCAAAGGGAAAGTGACTCACCCAAGGTCACAAAACAGCAAGTAGTAGGGCTGGGATGAGAACCTAGGTCTCACGGAATTCAGACAAACCAAAGCTTGAAATGAATAAGCACCAAAAAAGGAGATTTATTACAGATTTAAGAGCACCAGCGGCCTTTTCTCATTCTCAGAATCACAAGCTAACAGAGCTGGAAGGAACCTCATCTAGTTAAACTGGGCTAGAGCCTCTTTTGCGATGCCTTGGACAAATGGCCATGTGGCTTGGGCTCAAAAGCCTCCAGTTAGAGGGACCCTGCTACCTCCTGGGGGCAGACCCTTCCATTCTGGGAGAGCTAGGGATTTCTCCTGACATTAAGGCTAAGCTTGCTCTACCCCCCTCTTTTCTTACAAAAATAAAAATCTAAAATTTGATTGATATTTTGTTAAGAGGCAGGAACTAGAAGGCATTCTTTACACAGGTAGCATCCCAACCCTACTTTTGAATTTTAACTAAAATCACAGTGTTTCTAAATTAACATGTTCTATTCTCTGAAGGCTTAGTTTTCTCTCTTTTTTTCCCCCAAATGAATTAAACACAAAATCAGTGATTTCTTTACCTGCTTCCTCCTTACCCTCTTTCTTTCTTCTTTGTACCCTCAGCACCTAGTATATAATAGGTGCTTAATAAATGCTTACTTTGCTCTCCTTACAGGTTGGCATCCATTTGAAATCTGTAAGTCTGCCCTACAATATTCCACAATAGAAAAAACAGGAATCTATCACCTTACATCCCTAGTCTCTCCCCTCTCCTTCCAGTCTTCTGGCTTCTCTTGGAAATTCAGCTTGCTGGCAGCAGGAAGGTTGGGACCCTGGTAGCCTCTGTCCCAGGCTGCCTCCTTCCCCGAGCTCTGTACCCAACACCTTGTTTTTTTTTTTATAAAAAACAAAACCAAACCAAAAACCCTGAAGGGTCTTCCTTTGAAAATGCCAGAGCTACAGACAAGTGGCTAAGGATGAAACAACACTCCAGCGGCTATGTGAAACAGGGTCAGGTTTATTTACCACTCCATTCTATAATCTTCACATATAAAAGCCAGTAGCAGATACAGACGGTGCAAGGAGGGTCCAAAGGGTGGGGAGCAGATGAGTTACTCATTCATGTCACACATGAAGGCATTGGGCACCCTTCTTGGCATGCAGTCACTCTGAGCATCCCCCTCCTAGGGAGATGGCCCGGAACCCACCATAGGACAAATGGAGGCAGTTTCTGAAACACGTGTGCAGAGGCATCGGAAACTTCCTTCTGATGGCCCAGAGAGATTTCTTTTTCAGTGATTCTTTACTCCCCAGGCTGACACCAGGGAAAGCTTCCCTGACCATATACTTGCCCTGAGAAGAAGCTATACACACTTTGACCTTACCTGACATTATGGTCGGTGGGCAATTACTTTTGCCCCATGCATTGACTATTTAAATGCTGAAAAAAAATTCAATTAAATTTAAAAAAAAAGCAAAACCAAAAC